CGCTCAGAGATGTGTATAAGAGACAAACGTTTGGGTGATAATGAGTATTGTTTAAATATATGTAATTTTAGCACTAATTTCGTGCAAGGCTCACTTGCCCTTCATTTGATACTTCTTAATTTTTAATTATATGAGCCAGAGTAATATATTATATTTTTATATTATAGAACTAATGATCCTTTAAAAGAAATGACTTTGTGTAGTGGATCTTCCATTCTTTACAAAAACTGTACTGTTCATACCGTAATCAACTTTTTTATACACGAAAACTATAATAATACGATCAATGACTATGATGTCGCTGTTCTTCAAGTGAAAAAATTTACATATGATAAACATACAAAAGCGGTTGCCTTGGCATCAAACAGATACGTTCGTAGGAAATGGGGTATAATCTGCGGTTGGGGATACTATCAGGTAATGAAGTATATTCTGACATAAAATAATATTGTCGTTTAAATAATTGTCATTTTTTAAAAACTTGTTTTGTATCTATATAAAAATTTAAACTTCTATAAAATATATAGAAATTCAACGGTACTATCATGCCAGTTCTATCGAAAAATCTGCAATGCGCAACAGTACCGCTAATAAATAATACGATATGCCAGAAAGATTATGCAAATAGATATATAGTGACACCTCGGATGACATGTTATGGATTCCAGGAAGGAGGCATAGATGCTTGTCAAGTAAGACACTTGTAAATATAAATGATTACTCTTTATTTTTTTATTATTATTATTATTATTATTATTATTATTATTCACACTTACTATATATTATTATGTATATGTAGGGTGATTCTGGAGGGGCATTAGTGAATATTGAAAATGTTCTCCTCGGTATAACTTCGTGGGGAGACGGTTGTGCTGATAAGTATTCGCCTGGTGTATACACAGATATGATATTACTTCGACATTGGATTAGAAATAAAACCGAAATAAGTGCTTAAGAAATTTATTATCGTAATGTATCAATACAACTTGTTAAAATATAATCAAATCTATGTTTAATTTATGTCATATTTATGTTTAATTAACAATTAAAATACGATGTTATTAAAATATTGAAAAAACATTTATATTGTAGAATTTAACGAGATTTTATTCTGGTATTACTAATTCAACACTTTGTCCATTTTCGGAAATAATAAATTTGGAATCCTTATAACGTAAAAGATTCATAGATCTATGAACTGACCATACTTCATATCCAAGTTTATAAAATAATGGTAACCGATCAAATCCGCCAGCAATTGCCAATGAATCATTGTAATCCCATTGACGATCCATTAGCTTATGTGCATGTCTCTTCTTTGGAGTTCTTAAGATCGAATTTTCTAACATTACAAGTTTGGTGGGCAACGTCGCTCGATTTTGAAGTAAAGATAGGAAAAATTGTACCTGGGAAATAAAAATTCAAAATATAATATTAATTCATGTATAAAATCAATAAGAACTTATAATTTATATTATAATAAAATAATAATTAAATTTATTCAACAATCACGACATAATTAGTTAAATAAATTAAAATTTTTGTAAATGGTCTTTTTCATATTTATGTATTTTTATCATTTATAGAAATTAATCAATTTTTATCTAAATGCTAAAAACTAAACTAGCTATGTGCAAGATATTGAAAATTAAAAAAATATATAATAATATAAAAGTATATAAAAGTGGTTTATAATTTTAACAAATATTGTAAGAAAAGTTACATAAAAATGTTCCAGACAAAAGTTGTATGATCTAAAAAGGGTAAAAGTTTTATGGTCCCAAATAATGATAAAATCAATTTTCGAAAAAAAAATCGATTTTTTAAGATTATCATTATTCCTGGAAGAAGATGATGATGTCCCTCTCTCGCCTATTATCCCGTTAGGAAGTCAAAGTTCAGAAAACAGGACCTTGGCGGGACCGTAAATTGGGTGTGTACGGGATGCTTAGGAAGAATGCTGCATGTGTATTCTGAGTATCCCGGCTAATATCCGAGGACAGAAGATCGGGGAGAAAAGGAGATTTAATCGGTAAAAATCCGACATATTCGGCTTCTCCTTGGAATTGAAAGATATCTATAAAGTTTTTCGTTCTTTTAACAAAAAAAATTTATTATTTTCCAAATTTATTATTTTATTATAAAAGTATATAATATTGAGGCAAAATAACAAGATTAATAAATTGATATAAAGAAAACAGTTTTTTTTTTCAAGTATACAATCTGTAATATGTAACCTCTGTAACATCATATGTATATTTTTGTCTGAATCATTTTTCCGTACTTTTCTGCATATATTTTTAAAACGTATACCATCTTGTACCACACGCACGCACATTTTGTGTCAGATGAGCAGTTTCTTTTTTATTAAGTTATGGCTAATGTTATGATTATTAAATTACGTGCAAAAACAGGATTAGTAAAAAAATAAAAGTTGAGTTAAAAAGTTAAATAATTTTAACTCAACTTACAATTAGTGAAAAAAAATATTAAGGCGATCCTGAAGTCGTCTGTTTTATCGAACACGATTATTTTCCAAAACAAAATAAACATAATTAAAGGCAAGATTTAAAAATCCTTCTCCACGATTAAAGTATATAGGCATCAATGTAGTTCCGGCTGGTAGGGATTATGCTGAGAACCAAAAAAATTTAAGAAATTTAGATTTCCGTTACCTTTTCTTAGTCCAATATGGCGTCTGGAGCTGTTACATGTGCCAATATTGGCTTTGTACAAAAATTTGGAAGTTTGTTGGTACAAGATGATACCAGCCGGAACTACGAATTATACATATGCAAACAATTATTGAGTTCATAAAATTAGGCTTAAGAGGATGCTGAAAGGTCGGGAATTACCGACATTTGCATTCTAATGGATAACACCGAAACGATTAAACGGATTTAAAAACGCTTTTACAGGATTGAAA